ACAGCGTGGCGGCCAGAGATCGGGCTCAGACTAAGGGTTCAGGAAAAACCCAAAACAGGAAATCCCCCTACTTAACATTTTGCCCTACTCGTGGTAACGGGGCTCTAGGGGGCGAGTGTTACAGGACTGAACGATGACAGAGAGGTTCATAACCTGCTGTTACACTGCGTCTGCATGCTCCAAATCAACTTTAATAATATCAAAATATTATCAAATTATTATTGGAAAATAAAATAATGTAATGTCTAATCTACAAATACAGGAATCTACTAATCTAAACCTGGGTTTATTTCAGGATATTTGTTTTGGATTAGTGTTAACGTTTGAGATCAGTTTGGGATTAGAGTTCGAGATTTAATATAATGTTTTGGCATATGGATTGAATTTAAGCAATGTTTTGGATTAGGGTTTGAGATTAAACATAGTATTTTGGATTAGAGTTTGGGTTTGAGAATGAAAATAATGTTTAGGATTAGGATTAGGGTTTGAGATTAAGCAATGTTTTGGATTAGGGTTTGAGATTAAGGGGAGGTAAAGTTTATGGATTGTGGTGTTCAGGAGATTCAGGTTTGATATGAGGATCAAGTTTGTAAGAAAGGTAAATTGTGGGATTAGAATTTGAGATTAGGATCTAAGTATTGCATTAAAGGTAACATCTTGTATTAGGGTTGTATATTAAAGTTACAATTTAGGGATTATGGTTTGAGATTAAGATTCAGGTTTGGTTGAAGGTAAGGATTGAATGTTCTGGGTTACAGTTACAGTTTTGGATTAGGGTTAACGATAAAGAGATATCTTCCAGTTCCAAAATATATTTGGCGCCAGGCTCCCATTATACATTTTTTTAATACTAATCCTAAAATGTAATCCTTCATAATAATCCTAATCTGTAATCCGAACCAGGTTCATCCTTTACTTCCTGTCTGAACCCTTTAAAGGTGCTTGTTTACAGCTAATTTCAGAGGGGTCCACTGAATCAGGACCTTACTTACTTGTTCCAACAGACTCTCCCTTCCAAGCTTTGCATCTCACCCAGGATCGCCAGAAGGAGGGAAGACTTGCCACAGCCCACTTGGCCCACAACCATTGTGAGATGTCCTTAAATGGGGATAAATGGAAATATTCAGTGTAAACATCTCACATACAATAGATATACACCAAGCTACAGGCGGGTTAAATGAAAGGAATTCTAATATTCCTGAGAGGGGAAAAGAAAGCGTTAACTGAAAGGAACATAAGAATAAACATAATTACAACAGAACTGAATGTCGCAGCCCTGGGATTGTTTTTTTGTTTTTCCCCAAAGACAATTTTAATAAATAGAGGATGGAATGCATACCAAACGGTCACAAAATAAATACATTTATCTGTTGTCAGAGGTTTAGCAAAATGAAAAAAAAAAAACTAGATATGAAACAGACAAAATCCGTGTCCTGAGAATTTTGAGTAAAACTGAAGGACAGTACGGCAGCTGGTGGCTTGTGGAAGTAGCATTGAAGAGATAAACGATCATATCTTCCAGGGAGCTAATGTATTTCTGGGTAACCTCGTAATATTGTATAGCAATAGTGGGTGCATTTACCTGTGGGTATCTGGATATCGATGTTGGACAGTGTGGCCAGGCCGCTTCCCCAGGAGAAATAACCGCCGTACACCTATCAGTGAAAGAAACCAAATCTTCTACTGTTAGTGCGCTCCCCCTCCATCTATCAACGTATCAAAACAGAGATTTTATTAATCTGAGATCACAGGTCTAAATCCCTCTTTGCAAAGTCCTTATTTCATCTCAATGAGTGGAAGATCCTGTTTGAGAGATTTAAAGCACTATTTGGATGGTGCCCCCAAACCTCATATACTCCCGGTCTGCACTGACAGACCCCGCATGGTGACCGATCCCCTCACCTGTTAGACCCCATTAACCTGATGGATCCCTGCTTTGATGAACCCCAAAAAATAATGGATCCCTACAACCTTACAGATACCCAACGTAATGGACCCTCTAAAATGATTGACTTTCCCTTACATGACAATCGCCCCCTAACCTGGTCGTTCATCATCTCGCTCGGTGCTTTCTACCAACATTTACTAAACATACAATATCCTCTATCTTAATACAAAGATCTTCTTCTGAACAGAATGATTGTGCGTCATAGAAATTGTGTCCCATTGATTTTAAGTTTAAGATAATGCGTGTGCTGGGAAAGTCTTGGATTTTAGGTTTTACATAAAACATGCTATAGTTTAATAATTTTTCTTCCTTTAACCTCTTCACTTCCAAAAATGTTTGTTTGAAAATTATTCGTATAACATATAATTAAAACATATAATAAAACAGCAATTAGCATACAGGAGGTGTGGCAAAACTATATAGTGTTTCCAAATGATACTATAATATCCAAATATCCCGTGTATAGGTATATATAAGGATCCCAATGCGCTTTCCCTGGAGATCCCTGGAATGTTAATGTAAGGATAAGTGAGATTTGGGGGGGGGAGAGAGAAAGCATTGTTTTAAACAAACCTTGATTGCTGCTTCATCGAGATCGGATGGACGCGTCGATCTGTAGGATGACTTTTCATATCGATCCACCTGGTATCGCAATGGCTGCTTCCTGTTAAAAGCCCGTGAGTTCTGCAAGTGGCAGAGAAGACAATCAGCATCAAACAGAGTTTGAGTCAAGTTCCCTTCACACAGAGGGAGAATTTTCTAAAACTATCAATAAGTAAAAATCTAAATGAAATATATAGATACAGTTGTAATCAAAATTATTCAGCCCCCATTGAAAATCAGGTTTATTTACTGACTTTCAGCTGTTTGCAATGAACCAATCAATTGAAATGGCTAAACACAACAAATGCTTCAAACGCAACTGAAAACGCGACTTCTCCAGTCTCAAAATTATTCAACCCTCTCACGGCAGGCATCTTTACTACTTAGTAGAGCGCCCTTTTGCTGTTATGACCTGCTGCAAATGAGATACATTGCCAGACACCAGCTTCTGGGAGCGTTCCTTAGGAATCTTAGCCTGCTGCTCATGAGCAATGGCCTCCAGTTCAGTAATATTCTTGGGTTTGCGTGCTCCAACCTCCTTCTTCAAATCCACCCAGAGATTTTCTATGGTATTCATACCAGGTGACTGATGGCCACTGTAGAATTTCCCAGGACGATGACTTCTGCAACCAAACCTTGGTGGAATTCGAGATATGCTTGGGCTCATTGTCTTGTTGGAAGGCCCAATGACATCCAAGCTTCAGCTTCCTCACATACGGCATGATGTTTTCTCCTAGAATTTGCTGATACTTCAATGAATCCATCTTGCCTTCCACACGCTGAAGGTTTTCGGTGCTAGGTGAGGCAAACAAGCCCCAGAGCATCACCAAGCCACCACCATGCTTAACTCTTGGCAGAATGTTTTTTTTAGCATATGCTTCATTCTTCTTCCTCCAGACATACTGCTGATCCATTGGGCCGAAAAGGTTCAGTATTGTTTCATTGCTCCAAAGGACAGAATCCAAAAACTTCTGTGGCTTATTTTTATTATTTTGAGAATATCGGTGCTGACTTTTCTTGTGCTTTGGGTCAGTAGGTCTTGGAGTTCTGGCATGGAAACCTTCTGCGTTTAGTATGTACCTTACTGTGCTCACTAAAACTTCAAAGTCTTGCTGCAGGTCTTTTGCAGTCACTCAGGTTATTCACAACCTGTCTTTTCAGAAATCTGTTTGCAGCCATTGAGAGCTTCCTTTTTCTGCCCTGTTCAGGTAGTGTAACCACTAACTATTGCAAACAATGCTTCCAACAGTGTCTCTAGAAACACTCAGTGCCTTCGCTATCATTTTGTATTCCTTGTTTGTGAAGGGTGATCTCCTATCTTCACTTTGTGGACCATATTTCTAACATGCAGTCAAATGTGACACTCAACAAATTGCTAGCCAGTTTGGGTATTTCAAGTGTTACAGCTCAATCACACATGTTGCAACTAATTAAGCCCTTGATTAGTTGCATCAGGTGTGCTTTGGGGAAACCACTAGAGTTAAGCGAACCCGGACTGTAAAGTTCAGGTTTGTACCGAACATTATGTTTTTTGGACCCTGGACCCGAACACGGACATATCACTGTATGTTCGGGTTGGAGTTCGGTGTTCGGCAATTTAATGGCGCGTTTTCAAAGGCTGTAGGGCAGCCAATCAACAAGCGTTTGACTCTTGTGTCCTTAGAAGCCATCACAGCCATGCCTACTAATGGCATGGCTGTGATTGGCCAGTGCAGCATGTGACCCAGCCTCTATATATAAGCTGGAGTCACGTAGCGCCACACTTCACATGAGCTCTTATTAGTGTAGGGAGAGGATGCTGCTGCTGATAGGGACAGCTTAGGAAATAATTCTGCAAACTAGTACATTAGTGGGGTGGGGTGCACTTCATATCTGAGAGTCAAATAGAAGCTTCAAATACCGCGGTTACATCAGAGTTTTAAAAAGTCAATTTTATTGGGTGCTAATTAGTACATTAGGGCGGTGATCGGATGACCGGGACCCAGTATGCCTGATGTTGAAGTTAGGAGTCACAGTGTGGAATGGATTAGCAGGGTCTGGTGCAGGGTAACCGCACGCCCGCTGGTGTTGAGCACCAGCGTTTGTGCGGCCACATACCAGGACCCTGATGCAGCTTCAGTAAAAAGAGTACTGGATACCAGAAGCCATCACCAGACTGATCTGCAACTTGGAACAGGATGTGACATTCAGTGTAGTGGCTATGCGCGCTTTTGGCGTTGTCACCCTGCTGCTGCTCGCCTCTCTGCGTTGCAGCATAATTTCGGCCTTCCCGCTCACCGTCTCATGAGACTGTGCGAGCAGCAGCAGGCGATAGTGGAGTTTCAGCTGCAGCACGCACGAGTCAGTGGCTCTGCACCAGACTTCCCTCCAATTGAACAGAGTTAAAGGATTTCAAGTGGACTCATTACAATTTCAGGGCCTCGAAAGAGTCCTGTATTGTTATTTTTCGTCACTACCTTCCCGCGTAGGGAGTGGGTCATTTGCGCGCCTGCTGCCTTCCTTGCATGTGGTAGCTGTTTCTCAGGGTCCCTGTGCAGAATGGAACCCGGATTCCCTGTTACCCGTGGTCACCATGGTAGGTGCAGAAACTGGCATCAAAAGTTGATATGGATGACATGCGCATGCAAAGTCGTCGCCACAGGGATGTGCGATTTGCCCGAGGTTCTCTAGAGTCAACAAAGTTCCTGCGCAACTATAATGTCAACAGCTACTCTTCAGAACAGAGTTGTCTTTTTTTATATGTCCCAATATTTTGGGGGCTACCCCAATTAAAAAATATATATATACATAAACAGTGTTGGCTACCTCCTCCTCCTCCACCGCCATGGTCACTGCCTCCTAAACCTATGGGTCACTTAGTATAAACTATGTACACAATAGCAGAGGCTTCTGAAGGCCTTTTCTCCATGTATCAGGAGTTGAGCTCAGTTTGAACAATGAAAGAGAATACCCTGCACTCCAACCCTAAAGAAGTGGTTTTATCAGAGTCCATACAGATGTTCAAACAGCTACTAGATGCATACTTGCAAAAACAGAATATTCAAGGATATAATCTTTCAATGTAGGATAATAACTGCTTGATCCAAGGATAAATCTGACTGCCATTCTGGGGTCAAGAAGGAATTTTTTTCCTAGCTTGTTGCAAAATTGGGCTTCAAACTGAGTTTTCTCACCTTCTTTTGGATCAACAGCAAAAAACAAATGTGAGGAAGGCTGAACTTGATGGACGCAGGTCTGTTTTCAGCTATGTAACTATGTAACCCTCTCTCAAATGGATAATTCTGGTGATCCTCCTGACAGCCATGCTTTAGATTTTGATTTATGTTCTTCCAAAGCTAAAATCAAAGATTCCATCTAGTGCTATTTTATGGCTCAGCTGTATTTTTTAACTTATGTTATTTTTAAGTGATTTCCCTATCCAAATTTGTTTGCAGGGCACTTGTCCTACTCTTACACCCATTTTACTTCCTTTTGCAGCTCTCTAGCCCTTTCCAGGACTTTTTTAGAGCCATTTTTGTGGCCAAAAGTTTGGGTCCCGATTGACTTCAATGGGGTTCGGGTTCAAGTTCGATCACGAATCCAGACTTTTTTTTAAAAGTTCGGCCGAACCCACCGGACCCGAACATCCGGGTGTCCGCTCAACTCTAGAAACCACTTAAAGCATTTGCTATGTTTAGCTATTTAAATTTCCTTTGTTTGATTTATTTATTGCACACGGCTGAAAGTATGTAAAGTTTGACAATAAACCTGATTTTCAATTAAGGTTGAATAATTTTGATTACAACTGTATATACCACAAGTATTTTTTACATGCTTTACTGCTTCCACTGGAAGGCTATTCCAGGTATCTGCTACCCTTTCTATATCACTGTTACTGCTCCCACTGGAAGGCTATTCCAGGTATCTACTACCCTTTCTATATCACTGTTATTGCTCCCACTGGAAGGCTATTCCAGGTATCTACTACCCTTTCTATATCACTGTTATTGCTCCCACTGGAAGGTTATTCCAGGTATCTACTACCCTTTCTATATCACTGTTACTGCTCCCACTGGATGGCTATTCCAGGTATCTACTACCCTTTCTATATCACTGTTACTGCTCCCACTGGAAGGCTATTCCAGGTATCTACTACCCTTTCTATATCACTGTTACTGCTCCCACTGGAAGGCTATTCCAGGTATCTACTACCCTTTCTATATCACTGTTACTGCTCCCACTGGAATGGCTATTCCAGGTATCTACTACCCTTTCTATATCACTGTTACTGCTCCCACTGGAAGGCTATTCCAGGTATCTACTACCCTTTCTATATCACTGTTACTACTCCCACTGGAAGGCTATTCCAGGTATCTCCTACCCTTTCTATATCACTGTTACTGCTCCCACTGGAAGGCTATTCCAGGTATCTCCTACCCTTTCTATATCACTGTTACTGCTCCCACTGGAAGGCTATTCCATGTATCTACTACCCTCTCTATATCATTGTTACTGCTCCCACTGGAAGGCTATTCCAAGTATCCATTACTATTTATATAATCTCACATTACACTTAATCTTCCATCCTAATTGCATATTATGTCCTGTTTTCAATTTGTTTTAGTAATGATACGAATATACAGTTAGGTCTGGAAATATTTGGACACTGACACAATTTTCATAATATTGGCTGTGTACACCACCTTAACGGATTTGGAATGAAACAACCGAGATGCAATTGAAGTGCATACTGCCAGCTTTAATTCAAGGGGTTGAACAAATTTTGCATGAAACATTTAGGTATTTTCATACACTGTCCCCTTATTAAAGTGGATCAAATAAAATTCAACAAATTAACATAAATAAAATGTTTATTTTTAATACTTTGTGGAGAATCCTTTGCAGGCAATGACTGTTTGAGGTCTGGAACGCATGGTCATCACCAAATGCTGGTTTCCTCCTCTGTGATGCTTTGCCAGATCTTTACTGCATCTGTCTTCGGTTGTTGTTTGTTAGTGGGTCTTCCTGCATTGTTTTGTCTTTAGTAAGTGCATGCTTGATCGAGTTGAGATCAGGTGATTGACTCGGCTATTGTAGAATATTCCATTTGTTTGTCGTAAAAAAATTCCTGGATTGCTTCCACAGTACGTTTTGAGTCATTGTCCGTCTGTAAAGTGAAGCACAGTCCAATCAACTGGATCTGAGCAGACAATATATCTCGATACATGTCAGAATTCATCTGGCTGCTTCTGTCACATGATCAATAAACACTATTTACCCAGTGCCATCGGAAGCCATGCATGCCCATGCCACCACACTGCCTCCACCATGTTTTACAGATGATGGGATATGCTTCAGATCATGAGCCGTTCCAAGCCTTCTCCATATTTTTTATCTTCCCATCATTCTGCTACAGGTTGATCTTAGTTTCATCTGTCCATAGAATTCTGTTCCAGAACTGGGCTGACTGTTTTAGATGGTTTTTGGCAATTTCTTATCTTGCCTTTCTATTCTTGAGGTCTATGAATGGTTTGCACATTGTGGTGAACTCCGTATTTGCTCTCGTGAAGTCTTTATGGTAGACTTGCATAGTGATATGTCTATCTCCTGGAGAGTGTTCTTCACTTGGCTGGATTTACCATGGAAAGGATCCTACGATCATCCACCGCGGTTGTTTTCTGTGGACGTTCCGACCTTTTTGTGTTGCAGAGCTCACCAGTGCGTTATTTTTTTTTCCTCAGTGTTGATTTGGCCACTCCTAATATTCTTGCTATTTCCTTAAGATGGCCTGTTTCACTTGCACTTTGACCGCATGTTGTGGGTTCACAGCAACAGCAAATGACACCCCTGGTAATAACTCCCGACCTTTTACCTGCTTAATTGCTGAATAAATAGTGATGGAATAGCCCACACCTGTCCCTCAAACAGCTTTTTAGTCAATTACCTCTGGTCCCTTGAAAAAGAGGGGGCTTTATATTATAGAGCTGTAATTCTTAAACTCTTTCTCCAATTTGGTTATGAATACGCTCAGATTAAAGCTGAGAGGCTCCACTTTAAGCCCATATTTATTATTTAACTGTAACTTGGACTTATTGTGGTAAACAGCCCAAATAACGAAAAGTGTGTCTGTATCTAAATATTTCCAGATCTAAGTGTAGATGCCCCAGTTTCAATTCACTGTAATATTACCTTCACAAATCCTAAACAAGGACAGTAAATACAATAAGTGCTCGCAGGAGTAAACTGGCGGGGTGTAAACACAATTTACGGCTTGGATCTGTACCCATCATCTTTAATAACAATATCACAGCACTTACTATACCGGGGTGCTTCCGGCAAGCATCGAAGGGAATACAGGAGTCTCCGTTTTTAAAGCCATCATCTCGAATCTCATCACTTATAAAGAATTCATTTAGTTTTTGGACACTGCAGGGAAAACATTTAAGTAAATCCGCTGGAAGTTTCACAAGGAGACTGTTAACGTGATCGAATTTGATATCAATTAATTGTTACACAGCTATCACACGAAGGTCATTCAAGCTCTGTATTGTTTTGCCACAGTTACCGTTTCACAATGACCCTACATTCTTATTATTGCACAATGTCATCTACCACACAAAGTACAGGGATGAGAACGAATGGAACGTACAATAAACATTTTATTCTGAAATCCTGTGTAAATATTCTGTGCATAGTAACTCCACAAACACAAAACCTGCAGTTTAGTTGAAATATTTGGTGGAGGACTGTGAGCTGGAATTCAGGGAATATTGCAAAATGAGAGAGCTATAGGAAGCTGCTAGTATGTTCAGAGACGATCTTTAGGACAGATTAGAGGGGATAACCCTTCAGAAACATTTCAATAGAAAAAAACTGAAAGAACATAGTCTGTCCTGGTTAAATCACGTCCATAATAAACTGGACACATAAAATAGAACATTTAATAAGATAACCTGAAAACACGGGAGTACAAGGGGCGAGAGAAATATATACAAAGGGTATTGCTCTAAATTAGAAATACATTAACTAAAGAGGTTCTACTTCCTATGAAATAGGTAGGAGAATAGCAGACTAGAAAAGACTGTCCTATCATTAAAATGTAACTTTTAATAATTATATTAAGATTTGATAAATTGACAAGGATAAAATATCCGATTATCAAATATATATGAACAAGTATTTAATACCAATGTGTTAACTATTTAGTAGAGGTTTAAATGAGTCCCAAAATATTCTAAATCCTTTTCAAATCAGCTCAAACAGTAAATTAAATATGCTTCCAAATTACCTCTAATGTCAGGTTTAGTATACAGGATCCTGAAATTACTGATGCTATAATTGAGAAAAGGGTAAGAAATTCTAAATAAAGGGATTAAATAACCTTAAATGTTTTTAAAGGTGGGAGGTTCTGTTCTAAAGTTTTCAGAACCTTTCCCCAAATACAAAACAAAGGTTTTGCAATCCACAGTGGTCGAAATAGATTGGTTTAAGAATTACTATTATTGGACTAATTTTGTGTGCACATGCTCTATTTGGTAGAAAATAATTTAGGGGCTGACAGAGGAAGAATTGAGTATAGTGCATCTGTAGAAATCGTTCATACTTAAGAAATGTATAGCTTATATTAGGTGCCCTTGAAGGCACAGAATTAGGGTTACCCATGACTTAAAAAAAAAAAAAAAAAAAAGAAAATTGGTATTTGTCCACTGCCAGACATTTATTGAGTGTCATAGATTGCTATACCTGCTATACCTACAGTTCAGTACAGTTCAC